GTGTGTGTGTGTGTGTGTGTGTGTGTGTGCGTGACAGACAGACAGAGAACAAGAGAGAGAGAGAGCGAGAGAGCGAGAGAGAGCGAGAGAGAGAGAGAGAGAGAGAGAGAGAGACAGAGAGAGAGAGAACAAGAGAGAGAGAGAACAAGAGAGAGAGAGAACAAGAGAGAGAGAGAGAGAGAGAGAAAGAGAGAAAGAGAGAAAGAGAGACGTAATAACTTCGTATAGCATACATTATACGAAGTTATACAAGTGTGTGTGTGTGTGTGTGTGTGTGTGTGTAGATATAGATATAGATATATATGTATGTACGAATATATAAATATATGTAGTTAGTCAAATACGAACACACACAGATATATGGACCTGTGTGCGGAGGTAAACATATGGAATATTAGAAAAAAAAAGGCAGTGAAAGAGATGGATAGGTTATTTTTGTGCATGGGATGATATATTTGTGTTTAATAGATGTGACCTATCTTTCCATCAGGCGTGACCTAGCCGTGACCCCGCCATGAAAGCAACGGTCATAAAAAGCAAGTCGTTTTTCCTTTGTCTTACTGCCACTACCTTCGTCTTCCTGACCAAACTGAGCATCTTCACCAGCAGCCCAGTCCAGCCAAGCACAGGGTCAGTCACGACTAATAGTGAATTGACCAGCGTGACCTTTGACCCGGGAAAAATCAAAGGGGGAGACGAAGAAAGCAACCCGAGGAAAAGGGTATCTGGCAACCCTCTAAGATACACAGGGAGACCCCAAACTCAAAAGGTTTTGTCGCAGCGAAATGCAACCCAGAGATTGGATATGCGGCGGTTCTCCACTCCAGCGACGAAGGAGAGAACGATTGAGAAAGAGCACAAGAAGAAGAAAGGGGCGAAGGGTAAGAAGAAGACTCAAGAGGAGAGAAAAGCGAAGAGGAGACTGTCCACGCTCACCCTCTCCAACGGCGCCGCCCTTCGCAACATAGACTTTACGAACTACAGCCCGGAGGTGAGTTGTGGATTATGGAGTGAAAATAATTATATATTCTCTATCATAATGTGAAGCAAGAATGTGATATTTAGGAAAGAGAAAACTCATGTATTACGTGGAATGGTCTAGGAAAAAAAGACAAAAAAATGAATGAAACAAAAGGGTGGATATAGAGTTATGACTAACAAACAACTTAACAAGCCATTTTCAGCATAATATACAATTTGACATTACTCATACGGCAGATATATTTCCCCACAATACCTAACCAGACAGAAAATACAAGAAAAAAAAAAATGAAAAAGCGATTGGAAATAACCACAGATCAAGGGGAATTTTCCTTGGACAACCTCGCTCTCAGTGAACCGTGCATAGTGGATGGTGTTAATACCTTTATCACGTCATAATGACACTTACCGCTACGCTTCACTGTTAGTGATTACCGTCTCTCTCTCTATCTATCTATCTTTCTCTCTCTCTCTCTCTCTCTCTCTCTCTNTTCATCTCTCTCTCTTTCATCTCTCTCTATCTCTTTCCTCTTCATCTTCTCTCTTTCTCCTCCCTCCCTTCTCCCCCTCCTCCCTCTCTCTCTCTCTCTTCCTTTCTTTTCTTTTCTCTTCTCTCTCTCTTCGGCCTCTCTCTTCTTCTTTCTCTCTCTATCTCTCTCGTCTCTCTTCTCTCTTCTCTCTCTCTCTCTCATCCTCTCTCTCTCTCTCTCTCTCTCCCTCGCTCTCTCTCTCTCTCTCTCTCTCTCTCTCTCTCTCTCTCTCTCTCCTCTCTCTCTCTCTTTCTCTCTCTCTCTCATCTCTCTCACTCTCTCTCTCTTCTCTTCTCTTCTCTGCTTTCTCTCTACTCTTCTCTTCTCTCCTTCTCTCTCTCTCTCTCTTTCTCTCTCTCTCCGTCTCTCTCTCTCTCTCTCTCTCTCTCTCTCTTCTGTCTCTCTCCTCTCCTCCCTCCCTCTCTCTCCTCGTCTTCTCTCTCTTCTATCTCTCTCTCTCTCTCTCTCTGTCTTCTCTCTTCTCTCTCTCTCTCATCTCTCTCTCCGGCTTCTTTTTTTTGTCTCTCTTCCGCGGCTCGTCTTCTTCTCTCTCTTTCTTATTATATCTATTCTATCTTTCTCTATCCGATTCTTTTCTTTCTTCTTTTCCCCACTCGCACTTTCTTCTGTCTCTCTCTCCTCTCTCTCCTCTCCCTCTCTCTCTCTCTCTCTATATATATATATTACATAATATATTATATTAATATATATTTATATACGTATATGATATATAATAGATAACATACAATAATAAGATTAAATGAATAAATACAATCTTCCCTATTTCAAATACCACGTTAAATTCTTACGAGTTACAAATTAGGACGCATTGAACTTATTTGTACCCAAGGGAATACAGATTATTTCCATTGTCATGTGTTTTTCCCCGCAAAGACGATTCTACCAACTCGACAAATGTAACTTTTTCATAATGATAGTCCATTACTAAAGTTATGTTTTCTTGTTTATGTTCTGTATGTCGTAAATCATCATGGAAATTTGAAGATTTCTTCGTACTGCCAATGTCGTGTTTCGCGTAATCTTATATAGAACTGGAAAATTGAAAATTATTAATTTCCTTCACTTTCTTTATATTTGAGAATATATAATTTGCGTTTTAAGGTTTATTTCCTGCGTTATTATTTTCTTTTTGGGATAGAGGCCAGTGTCGTAAATTTGAATTTTTGTCAAAAGAATTATGTTTAGAAGTAGACGCCCTGAACAAATAGGATTTTATATATTTTCATGATTTTATATATTTTTCTGCTCTGTATCTTACCGCATTTTATATAGATTTTTCTTACAAAGCTGACACTCATGTTCATATTGTTACTATCACAGGTATACAGTTGATGTGCATATGTATGGTATACATAGTGTACGCGTGGTGTGTGTGTGTGGTGATGTGAGTGTGAGTATGAGTGTGTGTGTGTGTGTGTGTGGTGTTGTGTGTGTGTGTGTGTGTGATTGTGTGGTGTGGTGTGTGTGTGTGTGTGTGTGTGTGTGGTGAGTGTGTGAGCGTGTGCGTGTGCGTGTGTGTGTGCGTGTGGTGTCTGTGTTGTGTGTGTGAGTATGCGTGTAGTGATGAGTATGAATGTGTGTGTTTATTTCTGTGTGTGTGCGTATACGTGTACGTTTCTCAATGTCCGTATCGACACCCATCCTCCACACAGGACCGCGCCATCCTGGAGGACCGCGTGGGCGTGTTGACTGATCGCGCCCGCACGGTGGCTCGGGGCGTGCCAGGAGACGCCACTCTGATGGGCGCGCCGCGGGAAGGAATTTCATCTGGGATCTCAAGCATCAGCCCAGCATTGTGTGGTGTCCGATCTACAAGGTACGTGTGGCGACTGTGCGTGTGGGAATGTTGTGCACATGCATGTATACATACACACACGCCTTGCACACAATACAGCACATATTATATCGTGTGTGTTGTGGGTGTGTAACATATCTGTGTGTGATGTGTACACTATCATAGTGTGTGTGTGTGTAGCATATATATATGTGTGTTGTGTGCTATCTCTTGTGTGTGTTGTGTTTGTGTACGATACATATGATGGGTGTGTGTGTCTTGCTGTGCTAGTCTAGTGTTGTGCTGTGGTCATGTGTGTGGTATGTACATATCTGTAGTGTGTGTGTGTATGTGCGTAAATAATCTGATGTGTAGTATGTGTGTAAATATTATGTGTGTTTAACTTTCCTAAATCACGGCGTTTCTTACTGATTTGTGTCGTGGTGCTGTGTACGTACCATATCTGTGTTGTGAGTTGTGTAATGCCACAAACAAGTTTTTGTTGCGCGCTGTGTCTAATCGCACATCTCCCTCTTCTTTCCGGAGTCCTCTTTTTGCTCCTCTCGCAGGGTCGCTCCACACCGCCTCTAGGAACTTTCCTCCGCCTCGCCCACTTCAACGAGGACACCCGCAGATTTCACCGAAGGACATCCGGAGAGAGAGAGATGGAAGGAGAAAAAGAGGGATGTGTTTTTTTGGTGCGTGGAGTTCTAGAGGGGGTTTGTGTGGGGGGAAAGTGTTTTAGTTAATGGGGCGAATGGGTTGGGTAGGTTATTGGTGAAAAGAATTTCGGTTGTTTCGGTAGCGTTAATGGATTGGGGAGACGGGAGGGGGTTATGTACTTGAGGTTTTTTCAGTGCGGGAGTGGTGGCTTGTTGTTACCATTAGGTTAGTTTAAAAGTGTATTTCATTATTTAGAAACATTTTCCTCCTTCTCTTCTCCCTTCTCTCTCTCTCTCTATCTAGTTATCTTCTTCTCTCTCTCTCTCTACTCTCTCTCTCTTCTCTCTCTCTCTTCTCTCTCTCTCTTCTCTCTCTCTCTCTCTCTCTCTCTCTTCTTCTCTCTCTCTGCTTTCTCTCTTCTCTTGCTTCTCGTCTATCTCTTCTCTTCCTTCTCTCTCTCTCGCTCTCTCTCTCTCTCTCTCTCTCCTCTCTCTTCTCTCTCTCTCTCTCTCTCTGCTCTCTCTCTCTCTCTCTCTCAAAAAAAAGCAGTGAGTTGAAATTAGAGAAGTTTACTACCAGGCACAGACTGATACACCCCTCCCCCCCTCTCCCCACCAGCCGAGATATATGGAGCAAACCACACACAGCCTTCGAAGATGATACCGCAGGCCCCCCCAGCCGATGGAGGACCTGGCACTGAGGAGGAGTGCCAGGTCACATCGTCAGACCCGATTTACAGGTTTGTTCTGTGACCGTTTCCTGACCTCTGATGGGAGCTTCATTTCGGCTTCGCGTTGTCATTAGGTTATGATTTTTGTTTTTTGTTTATGTTTTTTTTTCACATGTGTATTTTAAGTTGTTTGTTTGTTTATGCTCTTGTTTCGTTTTGCTGTTCTTTGCATCTATCTTTGCTGTTATTATTTATTATTGTCTGTTATTTTCTTATTTATCACTAGTATTTCTATTGATATCAATCCCAACAAAATTTAGAACTTAGTGCTGTGCTGATGATTCATATTTCCAGACAGAATTTTTGACTGTGCTATTATCATTATAATTTCTTCATTACTTTTGTTAGCAGCATATCGGTAACAACAATGAGAACAGCCTGGAAACTATAAGACGTCGTCTATAAAAAAAAAAAAAAAAAAAAAAAAAAAAAAAAAAAACGTTTTTCAGATGTTTCAGATTTACGTTTTTTTCAAACGTTCGTCAGATCTCAACGCTTTCCCTTCAAACGTTTCGTCAGACAACGCTTTCCCTTTCAATACGTTTCGTCGAACTCAACGCTTTTCTTCAAACGTTTCGTCAGATCAAATCAAACGCGTCGATAATTCTTTCCCTTCAAACGTTTTCGTCAGACCACACATTCCCTTCAAACGTTTCGTCAGACTAACGTTTCCTTCAAACGTTTCGTGGAACCAACGCTTTCCTTCAAACGTTTCGTCAGATAAATCAACGCTTCCTTTCAAACGTTTCGTCAGACAGTTTTCCTTCAAAACGTTTCGTCAAACGCTTTCCCTTCAAACGTTTCGTCAGACTAACGGCTTTTCCCTTTTTCAAACGTTTCGTCAGACCAACGCTTTCCCTTCAAACGTTTCGTCAGATCAACGCTTTCCCTTCAAACGTTTCGTAGAACCACGCTTCCCTTCAAACGTTCGTCAGAATAAATAACGCTTTCCCTTCAACGTTTTCGTCAGACAAACGCTTTCCTTCAACGTTTTCGTCAGACCAACGCTTTCCCTTCAAACGTTTCGTCAGATCAAACCGCTTTTCCTTCAAACGTTTCGTCAGATAATAACGCTTTCCCTTCAACGTTTCGTTCAGAAACGTTTCGCTTTTCAAAACGTTTCGTCAGAAAATACGCTTTCCCTTCAAACGTTTCGTCAGACAAAACGCTTTCCCTTCAAACGTTTTCGTAGATAAATCAAACGCTTTTCCCTTCAACGTTTCGTCAGATCAACGTTTCCTCTCAAACGTTTTCAGATAAAATAACGCTCTCCCTTTCAAACGTGTTCGTCAGATCAAATTCCTCCAAAGTTTCTTCCCCAGACTCCTCTCTCCGCGTACCGTAAGATAGCCAAGGACCCCCCCTCAGAAGTTCAAGTTTAAGGAGCTCCAGGCGCACATCGTGGCGAAGTACCGGAGTGGGCGGAGTGCTGACACGCCGCCCACGCCGACCTTCGGAGTTTCGTCACGGTGATCGACTCCACGGTGGACTTGTCGAGCGCCGCCGAGTGGAGGAAGAACGTGAGTGGTTTGTTTGGAATGAGGTTGGGGGGTTGGGGGAGGGGGAGGGGGGAGGGGCGGGAGGGGAGGGAGGGGAGGGAAGGACAAGGGTTGAGGGAGGAGGGGAAGGAGGGTGAGGGAAAAAATGAGAGTGGGAGGAGGGAGGGTTAAGAGAGAGAGAGAGAAGAGAGAGAGAGAGAGAGACAGAAGACAGAGAAAAAAGAAGGAAAGAAAGATAAAGAGAAGAAGATGATGATACACAGAAGCTCACAGAAAAAAAAATGAAACACCTTTTTCCCCCCACCAGGTTAATTGCTGGACACCATACTGGGTTCATTGCAGCGTCTGTCACTATGACTACAACATCATCATGAAACTCGAAACCATGGAACAAGACGAACAGTTCCTCATAACACTGTCTCGCCTCGACGAACTCAAGGTAGGCTGATGTGGTTTCTATAATGGGTGTGGTCATTTTAGAGAAAATTGTTGATAATAATGATGATAATGATAGTGATAATGATGATGATTGATAGTGATAATGATGTATGATATGATAGTGATATATGATGATGATTAATGATCATGATGTATGATGGTAATTTACATGATAAGGTATGATAATGATAATGATAGTGATAATGATATGATGTATAATGATTATAGTGATATGGTTATGATATATAATTATAGTGATATGTTATGATCATAATAATGAAATAGTAATGATGATAATGAATATAATTAATTATAATCATATAATTTAATGATAATTATGATGATCATGATAATAACGATTTTAATAATAATAATCATGACAAAACTTGATTCTTCATGTCCTCTTGACTAGCTGTTATCAGTGTCTTCAATTCTCATCATTATTCCTTTGCTGTTTATTCCAGAACAGAACCAGCTGGGTCCACCTGCGCGGCGCTTCGTCCACTCAGCTGGCAATGCAATATTACAAGGAACTCACACGGCACCAGATGTTCCAGCTTTACAACCGCTATGAACTTGACTTTAAGCTTTTCCAGTATGACATTAATGACTACTTGTCCGTTGCGAAGGATGCGTGAGAATAACATGATATATGTGTATATATATATATTTATATATATATATATGTATATATATATATATATATATATATATATATATTACATATATATATATATATATATATATATATATATATATATATATATATATATATAGAGAGAGAGAGAGAGAGAGGAGAGATAGAGAGAGAGAGAGAGAAGTATGTGTGTGTGTGTGTGTGTGTGTTGTGTGTGTATTTGCGTT